CTATTATCTTTTATCAATGATACCATTGAGTTTCATGTCAAAATATCTCTGTCAAAATATATCCGACACAAAATACTTTAAACAATACTTCAAATAAACCACTATCTTTGAGTTTTCCATTTAGGTTCCATTACACTCTCAGGTAACCTAATTAAACGACTTAAACTAAACCAGTAGTTTAAAATGTAAATATAATACTAAAAACAGTATATGTGATTCAGGAGAAAAGTTTTTCCAACAAGCCTCATCAAAGTAATTTTCTATTTGCTTGAATTTAATTGGTTAAATTAATAACCATTTGGCAATAAAATATTATTTTCAAAACTATTTTAATCATTAAAATCACATGGTTTTGAATCTAGCCAATTACAATGCTCTTAATAGATCATATAAACATCTCCAATATATAGCTGCAACTGATGTGTCTTGAACTTATCAGTACATACTTAAATCAAATTTTAAAAAGAAAAAACTTCTTGTCCATCAAAATCCATATTGCAAAACATCGATGAATCGCTGTGTCGTAGTTGAGCGAAATAAAATGGCTATGTATTAATGCACAGTCACAGGTTTAAACTCATTTACCAGGGTTAGCTTTCGGTTAGGGTTCGCTTTCTGGACAGGACGATCGCTTAGAGAGAAAAAAACTGAATAGGCCTCCACCACCCAATGTGCATAACACAAAAAAAATACTGTACTACGAACACAAAAAACAACTTGTATTGAAAATATCTAACAAATGTCTTTAGTAGCCACGGAAAAATAAAAGAAAAAAATATCAGGGATCGATATCAATTAAAAAAATAATCAATTGTTTGAACTATAAAATTCTCTAAAAAATATTCCTCTGTAAATCATAATAAACAGTCATGTCTGACTTGACTACAAATCAATTATAAATATGAATTATTATAATGTCAATTTCATAAATCTAAGTACTTGCTTACACAAAACTCAAATGAAAACGTATTATAAAAAAAACGATTTTTAAATAAATAATAAATTGAATGTTTAATAATTTTAAATACGACAAAAATCGAATAATACAGAAAAAAAAATACAATCTCGGCCGTGATGAGTATAAAAACGAAACATTTAAAAAATAAATAATACTCTAGATTGTTCAGAAAAAATTCAACGGATCTTCTTTGCTTAGTATGAAAGTTATGAATTTATTTAACAATAATGTATGGAAAATTGAAAACCGATTAACTAACTGCAAACAATTACAGCAAAATCGAAAATGCATACTTATTAATATTACGAGTATTTACCATAAATATTCAATATTCATATAATCAAATATTGACTATATGTTATTCGATTCAAAAAAAAAAAAAATGTTCAAACAACTTTAACAGTGAATGACTTAATAAAAAAAGTTTAAAATTATGAACATAGATCTTTTTCTAAAGAATTATTATATTTCGTTAAAAGAAAAACGAAATAAATAACAATATATATCAAGTTCAGTGGAAAAGCTCATATTGAGCTGTTATTTGTAATTTGTATCAAATCACTATCACCTAACATTCTAAAAGTGAAACAATTATCCTATAATTTTACGTATTTTAAACTTGAAAAGTTTATATCCTATTAAAGACAAATGAAATGTGTTTTAGTTTGTAGTAGTCGGAACTGTTTCGATTTCAAATGTGTATGGCACATGAAAAATTGCACGACGTTTTTTTCATTGTTAAAAGCTAATTTTTCACCACTCCATAAGAAAATTCTAATAAATATTTCTGTTCTATAATAAAGCAAAATAATGAAATTTAGTTTTAAAATTAAATAATTCACATGTTAACTTTATTTTGAATTTATAATATTTTATTTAAAGTACGTAATTTTTTTTCAAATAATCTTTGTGGAAATAAATTTAAACTAAGCATGTATAAACTAAAATTGTCTGTCAACACAAAAATACAATTTAACGGAAAACCACTGTTTTGTTTTCATATAATGATATTAGCTTAATTTTTGTGAAATTCTTTTGATCTCCCGAATTACGGACCTACAATCTTTCATTTTTTTTTTTTTTTTTAAATATGATGTTATACATTAATACACATTTTTTAATAATAATTTGTTTGGTTTGTGATCATTAATAGCCATACGCGAAGCTAAAAAAATGGCATATCGTCTGCATGACATACTTCGTTAAATATGTATTTATATTAATTATTTATTATCTGTGGGCAGTTGAAGATTAAATAAATTTATTTACGGACACTTCAGACCCATCCAAACCTGGGCCATAAATATGAGTGTACTATTTTAGTGAATAAATAAAAAATAAAAAGTAACTAGCTGATAAATCCGTTGTTGCCGGGTTACAGTAAAAAATATAAGACTGTTGATTAATTAAAAAAATAAATAATAGATAAAAATAAATTATGTTTAATATGCATTGTATATATTGTTATAATAATGAGCAATCAAAGTTTAGGAAAAACATAAAGTATAAATAAATAAATAAATAAATATATTTAATTTCTTAAGTTTTAATTACATTCATAGATATACGTTAGATATTTACATACGTGAAAACCACAAACACACAGCTTCTGGCACGTCCAATGTATAATACAAATTGTATGCCAAGATGTAAAATATAAATAAGAATTTTTTGCAGAAACATGTTTAAACGTCGGTCTTCGTACTTCCATGTGAATAATCACAAAAGTTAAACGCATGACACACAATTAACTGACGCGCGTATATGCGCGTCCACGTGGACATTTTTCAGTACAACAAACTATATTATTTAATATTACTTTTAAGTTCTTAATATTGATAATTATAGTTTATAAAATTCAGAATTAGTGTGACAATAATTGTATGTTTATTTTATCATGTGATTGGTTTTTAAATAATTGAATTGAATCGATTATTCGAATAATCTAATAATTTGATTATTTCATTCGATATTTCCCCCAACTAACGTAAACCAAAAATAAAGGTTCTTCTTGTACAGAATATAATTTATTAGAGGCCAATTTATCTTTTATATCTTTGGACGAATGTTGGTCCACTTTAAAGGTGTTTCCATTTTAAACGAGATACGTTTCTTACAAGACAACATTTACTTAGCAAAATATATTTCTCTATTATACCAACAATATGAATATAAAATAAATCTTATTTATTTTCTGGAATATGCTATACAAATAGCAATTATATCCGCGAAAGGGAAAAGTATGATTGTGTTTGTAAATATAGTATATATATATATTAATTATAGTACATTACGTCCGTAACTTTTAAGTATAAACCGCAATATACTTTAAACGAGTTGTGACGTACATTCGTCGTAAATCACTAGTTTTATGATATTGTTGTATCACCCATGGTAACTAGAGTGTAAACATGTTTCGAAGATGGTCAAGGTTAGGGATGAACAATAAAATTATTAATGATGTTCATAGATTTCTGACGAATAAAATCACTTATCATTAATTAGGCCTCAAACTCGATAAATACTTGCCACTGATTTACAGAAAATAGCAACGCATTAGCTAAATGAAGTAAGCAATCACGCGTATTCCTCAATACGTCATAACACCTAGCCATACACTTCACAGAAATATCAAAACAGCACCTCAAATGAATCTTCAATAATCTATTGACGATTTTTCCGACAGTCATATACACAAAATTCAATTCCCGTGCATATTTATACGTCTTAGAACTTAAAAAGTTTTATTAATGACATCAATAATTATTCTTAATTAAATTTATTTGGATCTATGTATACCTACTTTAATTTATTTGCTTTTTATCAAAAAATTAAATAAACATGTAAAGCAAAATGGTCGTATACACTGTAAATCAGATGTCATATAAGATTTTATAGGTTGGGGGCCCACCTTTGGGCACTGGGTTCTGGATACAGAATGTTATGTATGAAGAATTTTAACTATAAAGATAAATAAATATGGTAGTGAGTAGCCCCTTAATGGACATTGTACAATGTCATAGTATTTTTCAAACACTCAGCGCCACTGCTGTATATTATGATAAAAAATTCAATAAAATTGTTTATTATAATTTAGGAAATAAATGTTTCTGAAGAACGAAGTCACTTTTTATGTGATATACTTACTAATTAATAAAGTAGATTAATTTTTTTTAAACTGAGTTAAGTTAGTTTTTTTTTCTTATTAACTTATAACTTATTGAGTTAAATTTATGAATTGTTAACTGTTAATTTTTAACTCATTGATCTTGTGTTCTCTTAACTTAACTTAACTCAACTTGATTTAATTATTTTCATTAACTTGCCTATCTTTCATTATAAGTACATATATTACTCAACAATTTATAGATACGATCTTTAAATTGCATTACAATTTTATTTAGTTTCCTTACTGTAACATCGAGGGCGGAAAATTAAAAATTAAAAATATTTGAACGACTGCACATTCGTAATTCGTCAAAACTCTAATCGATCGAAATATTTTAATATTAATGCCGGCATCCCTAAAGGCAGTGATATTGTTCCTTTCTTATGCTATGTCTTTAACTTACAATATCCCCAAAAAATTATTTATCGAACTTACGCAGATTATACAGCTATCAACGCTTCTAACGAAAATCCAACTATTGTCTGTCATATGATCCAACACCATCTGAACATCATTCGTTTTTGGGCCAAACGTTGGAAAAAAAATAAACGAGTCCGAATCTTTGCACAGCTCATTTACCTTTAAAAACGAATAATATCCACCAACCACTTCGAAAAATATCTCCATTTCTACTTTGGCCGAAACCAAATATATGGGTTTTATCCTAGTCAGGAAACTGAATTGGGCCGCACGTATCAAAAAAAAAACACAAATCCCTTAAATCGCCTACGCCTTCTCGCTTATGCTTAAAAATGAATATTATAAGCAAAACATTATTATCGACTTATTTTTTTATTATTTACTTGAATACAAATGGAATGAAAGTACAAAATTATTTATAGGTATGATGTTTTTATAATACATTCAAATAGTTTATCGGCATGCTTCGAGGTCAATGGCCTCCGTCGCACGATTCCTCATATCCCATAGCGTCCAGGGCCAGTCTTCATCGGTTGCTCGGGTTACCCGTGATACTTTATACTCCACCGTAGACACGCCGTAATCGTATCTGTGAAACAGCCACGGAGTGTTGTGGGGCTTGGTGTTGAAAATCAGGGCCGTCGAGTCCCCGGACTTTTGCCGCATTTCCGACCATTTTGAAAAACATAATTTCATCAGAAACGGGAATTTGGATCCTGCGACACACATACACGCCATCGAGTGATCACACGTTAGACAACAAAGCAAACTACACCGTTACGCGAAACAGGTAGTAACAATGGTACAGCGTGATAGACGTAACATACTCGACGATTCTAACTGCATATGGTTCAACAACAGTACAGCCTTGGCCGCCAGGTCGACACTTTTGATTTCTAAAAGACCCGTCGAACATTTAGCCCCGGGCTGCTTTTGGGATACTGAAAGAAAAGAAAACAATAAAATCACTGCGCATATGTGTCACGTGTGAAATAAAAGTGTTTCGATAAATGACTAACGAATTGTTATTGATCGAACCGCGTCCTTGCAACCGAGGGCGTTTATCACTGCCCTGCGAATCTTCGAGCCGCTAATATCTAACGGTGCGTTGAAGAAATGCAAAATCTATTTGGGAGTTTCGATTTATTTTATTGTATCAGTATATTACATCAATACATCGACGCAGTGATATATTTAAGATTTTTCGTGGAGTGGGGCGAGGGAGTGTCTACTTACTAATATTTACGTAATAAACATATTTTTGATCGTATTTATAATTCGATCAAGATCTATAGTAAAAGGTAAAATAATTGTTCCCGTCATATCTATCAGAAATTCAAACTTCGATTAAAGTATAAAAAGAAGAAGCTAAAGGAAGCAACTTTGAACTTCTCATGGAAAATACCACTGCGTCAACCTAAATGTTATAATACACGTATAAACTTACTTTCGACGGGGCTGCGATTCGACGCTCGTTTACAAACTTTGTTTTATACGAAAACCTGTTAAGTTTGCTGGTCTTGTAGTATTTCTGTGCCGGCGTCCCGTCTGACAATTTGATGACTTTTCCTTGGTCCCGTATATAAGAATAATTGGAATATCTGAAACGTCCGATGGGAATCATGCGATGTCGACAGGTATAATAATTATACAAGTGCTCGGTCGACGATAATAATGAATATATTAGAAATTAAATTTCATACTTCAAAATAAAAAACGTTTAGAAACTCTCTTGATTGACTATACTATGTTATTTAGTTCAATACATTTGAGCCTAAAAGAATTGAATACAATACTGCTAAGGTCTGCCAATTTTACTTTTTTTTTTTTTCGGTGTTTGTAATGTTATTTTAATTTTTCTTTTTTAATAAATGGCAAGGATCACAATAAACATTTAAATTCCATATGCCAATGCCGAGACTGTTATGATCCGAACATTTGAAAATCGACCGCTTACTTGATTTTCAACTTATTCTTCTGATCCAGTGGCAACAAGTGCAGGTGGTTCACGCAACGTTTGGCGGCCTCAACGTCGTTTAGCTCGACGAGAACCAGTCCATTTCTGAGTATTTTCACGGTCGTCACGTTTCCGTATAGACAGAATATATTGAAGACGTTGTCGCAATTGACTTCACGTCCCAGTCCGCGTACGAGCAGCGTTCTTCCGGGTACGGCGTGACGCGTCCGTGACGACGACGACCGGCGGCACGGAGCCGCGGAAGAATCACCGCTGCCCGACTCGGGTTTCCTGACGATCCGTCGCAATTCGCTCGACCCGTGGTCCCTGTGAACATCGCTACCGCGAAAAACATTATTATTATTCTTACCGTAACCGCGGCCTCCTCTTTCGACCGAAGATGGACGTGGTCGTCGGTTTAGAACGTTTGACACGTGTTCCATGGTCGAACGGTGTCCTGCGGTTTCTTCCATCTGTCGGCCTCCGTTATGAACCGGGTGGCGTCTGCACTCGGTGCATCGGAGACTGGCAGGGTTCATTAACATGCGTTGTCCGTTTTCCTGTTGGTTTCTGTCCATCGCGGGAGAGGAATAAGTAGTGATCACTGACGTAAGAAAAGAGCAAAGTTTTCAAGACGACCGTTTACAACCGTGAGCACAATATGAGATGGTCAATCGGAGTAAACACGTACGTTTTCATGGTTTCGACAAACCGGATGTTATTTAGTTGTTGTTTAGTAAATGGCCGGTAAAAGAAAATTATCCTATATTTAAAATGACTATTATAAAAACAATCAAATTTAAAATTTATTAATCATTAAAAAAAATATTAGGTATTGTTCGTATTATTTTATAATATTGTAGTGTTATAAATAATCAGCTAATAATCAGCTGTTTTGGTTATATTTTTTTGCTTTTGAATTTTTTTCTTTTGGTTCGATTTTTTTTTATGTTTTTAGCGTTTTTCTCTTTAATATTATTTATATGACTTACTTCATTTGATGCTAGAGCCTCCTCTGTTTCAAAATTGTTTATAATAACGTGAAACTTCAACAAACTAGCTGGCATATGATTTAGATTGGTTTGGTGACCGCGATGTAGATATATGTCCAAAGCGGCCACTTGACTTTCATCGAACATGATGTTTACACGATTAAAACAAAACATAAAACATAAACATTTTATAACGTTTAAATATTTGAAAATGTAAATACGATTTAATTTAATTTTGGTTTAAACGCCGACGCAATGCAATATACAGCTATGGGTTTTTCATAAACTATCAAATATATATTATACAAAATTATTGATAAAAACCGAGCTGGCAATATTAGATAATATTACATTTTCTAGTTAATCATAGTACAGTTTTGTAAATTTTGATAATAAGATCATTTTATTTTGTATAAAATATATTATTGACTTATGTCAATTTCATTATGATTTATGAGTATAAATATAAAATAATAATTTGTAAATTCTTGCAGAAGTTCCGGTTTTCACTATACCTACTTACGGTTTTGAATAATTTTGAAAAATTAAGAGAATCTCCATTATTAATTTTAGAATTTTTATTATGATTAATTTTCATAGAAGATACTAATCAGTGTTTAATTTTTGTGTACTCTTTCAAAAAGTAAACATGAATAAATGTTGGTTATAAGATTAGATGAGGTGAAATTATTTGGTAAACACAGGTAACCGCTAAGTGATAAAATAAATTCTGTTTTACATTATTCTACAAGATAAATATTATATTTTTTAAATCATCACGTAATATAGTAGTTTACCTTTTATGAAGCATAAATGTACATTAAGAGTATTTAAATAACGAAAAGAAAATAATAAATAGTAAATAAAAATAAAGAAAACTAAATAATTAACATTTGAAAAGTTTCTGAAATTGATTAATGTTGGGGATAATTTTGAAGATTTTTTTTTAAGTATTAACATCAATTTAATTTGACAATTTTCTTATAATTTTTTAAATAAAATATATTGTAATAATTTACCAATGATTTATTAAAGAAATAATATCAAACTATTTCACATATAACTCAACTATGAAGGATTTATCTTGAAATTAATATATTTTGATATTCTATTCTTGCCAGGTCTTATCATATTTTATTAAATTATTGAATTACATTATTGTTAACTAAACCTTTTTTATTTATTTGATCAATAAATTGAAGGCATATTCAATGTAATTAATACGAATATTATATATTATTTTATTAAAACCTTATGATAATGATTTCAAGATAATATTTATATTTTGCACTTAAGTATTTATAGATAGGTAAATAATTATTAAAAAATGGTTACCTTTTAAAAAAAAATATATTATAACTTTAGTAATATAAATATTAACATTTATGGAACACTATGCCAATTTAATTAAATATTAATTATCTAATATAGTACCATACATTTTTACATGTATTGTAAAAAATTATAAATACAAGATATGACTTGTGACCTAGAGTACATTTGATAATATAAAGTGTTCATTATACATCTTATGGTGAATGGTGATTTGTAAAACAAACGTAATTTATATTTAAAACTTGTATTCATTATTAAAAGAGTTATAATAGAATAACTTGTTTTTCACGGCATTATTTGTATTTCTTATATGCTTCTTAGTTTTTTTTCGCCATTCGAACACCAATTGATTCTAAAAAACGTATTATAAGAAGAAATAAGCCATATTGACCATATAACTTCAGGTTCAATTCCTTTCTTGTGACGGTGAAAAATACACAGAATACTCCAGCCAATTAAATTTGCATATCGGTCGATTGGTAAATTTGGCCAATTTCCGTTGAATTATTCAAAATAAAATCCATGGAAAAGTTACATTATTTCGTACAATGCTCAGTGTATTCGAGCGGTTGATTTCATTAATATTCGAAAGTACCCACGATTGGACCAACGCGATTGCTTTAAAATCGATGTACTCCATTATTATAGAAAGTAATAAACTGCATTATATATGAAAATGTTCGATTGACGTTTTACTTTATCGAAATTTTAAACAGCTAAGCGGTTTGATTAAGTTTAATTTAATGATATAATAATCATTCAACGTTTTATGGTGTATTTAATCATGTACGTCCCGAAAAGGCGTTCCGTTTCCGCCGAGGGCTTCAGAAATAATAGATATTATATTGTTGTGACCCGAGCCTGAATGTGATCATAATGTAAGAGGGGCTGTAACTTTTAGTGAGGTCCTTTTAACCAAAACAATTTTATTTTTACATTCAGGATTAGTAATCTATAATTAATATTAATTAAAATAAGTATATAGTATTTGTATATAGAAGTACAGTCACAATTAATTAATAAAATAGTACTTTTTATATTTTTTCCCAATGTTTATAAAATACGTTCAATTGATAATATAGAAAAAATACATAATCTAATTTTATTTTGTGTTTCGCAAATAATGTTGCTACTCACTTCCCCCCGTTAGTACCTCTTTGATAGATATTACAAGTCAATCAAATTATATTTCAAAAAAAAAAAAAACACATCGTTCAAGTCTCCGTGGACAGCTAAGCTCCGGAAAACGGGCACTTGGCCCATAACTGTCCAACCATCAACATCTTCGTCAGCCCAGCAACCTCAGTGACGCTCCTGTGAACTCAGAAGATTGTTGGCTATTTTTTCAGATCTCAGAATGTGTGGCTAAGGTCAATCCGTCTCCGTCGTTAGAAAATTCCTCTTTCAAACGGTAAATAATATTATGACCTTTTTTATTAATCACCTTGGCCGGCAATATTTATTTATTTAACTATTTTCTTTAACTATTTTTCTTATATTTAACTCTATAACTTTATGATTATTATACTTTAGTAGGTGCGAAATATTGTTGATTTTTATTGACCAATATTTTCGTACATAAATATGTTTTATGAATATTTTCATTTATTAATTATTATGTTTTTGTCATCTGATTGACGTTCCTTTGTGTCGCTATGGCGTTTCCTCTCAGTATTTAAATAATTTAATTAGTAATTAGATTATGCCCGTTGCATATAATATGTATATATATATCTTTGACCGACAATCTTAAGAAAGTAAATATCGTCATGAATTTACCCCGGGTACTAGTCCGTATATTTCCCAAACTCGTCGGGTTATTTTGTAGGCCAAACTACGGACTTTTTATAAAATAACGGACCTGCAGTCGTAGTTTTACGACATTCCCTACGAATAGTATAATCAATGGCGTGGCAAACCATTTTCCCGACTGAATCTCCAAATGATAAAAAATTGTGAAATGAAGGTCCGCATTTTCACCGCCGGTCTCTCCGGATAGCACCCCAAAATAAACCGTTTGAATCTCATAATGAGAAAGCACACGATATAGATTTATTTTTGAGTTTAGTGATCCTCCAATGGATTTTATTTGTAGGTATACCTTTACGCCGACACAACCCAAACACCTTCCTTGTATATTCTTATATTATTTATAATATCATATTTTATTAAATATCTTGGTCGTGTATTTTATATTATTATATTTTGTATATTTAATATGGCGATTTGTGTCACGGTTATGAAATGTTCATTATTATAACTTATTTGTATTTTATTATATTGACCCCTTATATTTTCTCTCTTTTGATATTATCACCAAAGTTTGATACCATTCAGTTTTTTTCTTCGGTATTAAATTAAACTTAATTTTTCTCCCCTTTAAATAATATAAAGGCAAAACAAAATAATAAAACTCTTTTCTTTACCCCAAAAACCAGTGGTTATTTTTTATTTATTATACCTATTTTCTTCTTATTGCGACCTATACATCCTTGTCTAGGACTATGATGTATCAGATAAAATCTTACAGCTCCGACAGAAATGTCTCGACTATAAGTCGGTAAGTCGGCGTGCCTGTCGACGTGCGCTCGTCCTCTTGGAGCCCATTACTACGGAGCCACCATGCGATAAGTGTTCCCTGGGAACCATCTAACGGGCGAAGCGAGGGCGAGACGTCACAACTCATCCAAACATTATAAAACTTACTATATTACTTTCTAAATGATTACTTGGAACTGTGGCCATAACCAATCGATTTCCGCATGATTCCGGACCAAAAGGGATACAACTTAATAGTTTTGACTATAAGGGGTATCAATTCAAGTATATTTTGTGCGTTATCGTATTCACCTTCAATTGTTTCCACTTCTAGTTCATAGTTATTTGCTATTGATAAGGCCCAGTTCATAAATGAACCATTACATTCATCATTACTATTTTCATTGTAATACTCTTCATCATTTATATTAATAGACACACTTTTTTAAATTAAATGATATAAGTTTGTAAGTATGATATTTTACTAGAAATGAGGGATTGAAGATATTTTTTTACTTAAATCGCATGGAGTTTCTACTGAATCATCAGTGCGTACTAAAAGTGGGCCATCATATTTACTGAGTGCTATTTTAAAAATAGTTTCTACAATTTTTTTAGTTTCTTCCATCGATGTGCAATACATTAAAAGTGTCATTGATCTCACAAATAATTTTTTTGTCCTGGGGAATTTCTATTTATTTAGCGGACCCCAC